TGTGGAATTGAGTGGCAAAGAGGCCAACACTGCGTATAAAAAATTCTGCAAGTTCTTGCGCCGACTAAGCAGCAAGAAACGTAAGTCTATCGAGCGATTGATCGATGTAACTTGTGTGTATATAAACGCATTGATATCTCATAATTTTATAGTTTTAGATTTATAAAGCTTTACGTATTTTGAAACATTACAGAATTATTAAATTAAAAATTTAAATTAATTATATAATTGAATAATGAGAAATTTTATCACATATTATATTACAGTTAATTTAAAATGTTATTATATACAAAATATTTTAAAAAATATAATATTTATATATAGACGAAGTTTCGCAATCAAAATATTTTATTTTGATATTTCTTGATAATAAAATATAAAATCTCTTGTTTTATTTTTTATGATATTTTTATATAAAATGAGAAAGGTTGATTTCTCTACAAAAGATGTCTTATTTTTATTGCAAAAATGTAAATAAATCTATATTATATTACAACTAAAATTAATTTATTAACTTTATTAAAATTATTCTATTTTTTACATATTCACTTTTTGATTTATGTTGATTACTGATTAAACATTTATTACTTGCTATTTAAATATCAAGTTTTTTTTCTATTTTATGTATAATTATCAGTTAAATTAAATTTATTAATTAAAGTGAAATTTATTAAATAGTTAATTACATATGCGCGTACGCACAGAATAATTAAAATAATAAAATTTTAATTAAAAGTCTATATCTCTGAAAATTCTGCTTCTAAATAAAAGAACTTATTTCATTTTTCTCGTAAATTCCGTTTGCTTAGAATTGTACCTTTTTAATTTAATTGAATCAGTTACTTTTAATCGATTTTTCTTATTACTTTTAATTGATTACTGTTTCTTTTATTTATGTGTGTTAGAAGCTCTTCGTTGATATATTTTTATTTATAAGTGTTTCAATTTTTTCGCCAATAATAGTTCTTCGAAATTATCTTGTACATTGTCACGTCATCAAAAGAAATCGATATTATTCTTCATCTTATTCTTCCGAGAAAAAAGTCCGCTGCTTATCGACGCGTATTTCGAAGTGTCATTCAATTTCCAGGATGATTTCTCGCTGATCTGATTTCTTCGAGCGATGGACCGATTTCCACGATGACGCGTTTAATAAATGTCGTCAAGTATACGTACCGCTTTGTGTATCGAGAGCGCGTGATCCTCTGACATTTACACCGCCTCTTGGCGGTGCCGTATTTACTCTTGGTCGCACCTACCGTGTGAGATGTGGTTTTCCTGGCCTATTCGAGAGTGAGAACAGATCGAGAAAGGAAAAAGAGAGAAACGAAAGGGTTTAAGGGAAAGTCGATGGGTATCTGTTACCCTCGATATTGCTTCACGCGAAGCGCCGAGGGAAGTTCTTTCCGTTACGGTAATAAATTGAATATTAATTGGAAAATTTGTGTAAATAGCAAATAAATACGTTTTATATATAGTCGTATGAAGTAATGTAATGTGAAGTATGATAATGAGGTATATTTTGCGTCAGAAATGAAAACGATTATTATATTAAAATTAACGCAATTATTAAATTACTGATGCACTGATGATTTTTTTTAATTTAATACTTTCTTTTACTTTTTTCTTATATTTAATTACTATGTACCGTAAAGTAAATTATACAAAAATTGAAATTACTTTATAATATTATGATTGTATAATAGTATCTTATATCATTTATAAAATTGCACTGATAGAACGTTGTAAAATCTCAGAATATATCGCATTCAGCAGATCTAATCATAAAAGATTGCTCCAAACTCTATTCTGCCGCTTTTCTCTGGCTTGATTAATCCCTCGATTAATCCCTTTTTTATTATCTGCGCAGCCTATTTCGTTAAACCGAGCACGATTGCCTCTGATGACAAAGAAACGTTCGATATAACGAGGGACGCGCGAAATGCCACCATGAGGCCTGATATATAGATATTTTCTGAAGCTTTCTTGCTTCACAGGTAGGGGCTGCACACTACGGAAAAGGTCGAAGTCTCCTCCGATGCGCGCGTAACGCGATAAAAGGATCCGCAGCGTACGCGATGCAGCTGCAGCACTGCTTCGTTGCGCTTTTTGTCGCAAGCTGGATTTAGCTAGCTAGCTGACTAGTCGGCTGGATTTTCTAGCCTCGACTGTCGCTTGACCCATTTCCTTCACACGATGGATGTTTACTCGGTTTTTTTTTAGTCCCTTTCAAGAACCTTGATAATTATTCTGAGGTTCTGTCTGATTTTTTTGAAATTTTTAGTAAAAACACGTTCAAAATATTATAATTTAAATAATTTTTATTACTATATCTCGGTTTTTATTTTGGAAAGTTTACTTGGAAAGGTGTATCTTGACAGAAAGTACAAAGAAGATATAATATAAAGTAAAAGCCTAAAGTATCGTGAAATGGAATTTATTTAGAAACACAATAAAAAATGAATAGATAAAATAAATATAAACATTTGTATGATTTTTATCTGAAATTATTTTATTGCATTATATATACAAAATGTATTATTTTTTATATTATTTGATCTTTACATTGTTATTTCCAAGTTTTTCTCAAATATGTTCTCTTTAAGATATCTTCTACACATCATGATTTAATTTAGCCGGTGAGACACTCAGTATCTTGCCAACGCAGCGGCGCTTCGTAGAAACGCGACAAAATTTCTTTCAAACTTCCTTCGTTCAATTCGTGTGGTGATGATAAACAGACGACAGGTACAAGATTTTCGTATCTTTTGCCGGTGGTAATCATACGTCTCTCGCGTACGATGTAACCCATATTCGAAATGACTATCAAATTGTTTGTCATATCTCACTGTTAATGAATGATATAAATATAAATTCTTTCCTTGACTTTTATTATATTATCTACAATTAGACATACACAACTATAAATGGATTTCTATTATAAGGTCTGTTTTGATCGAAAAGCTCTCTGAGCTGACGCATACGGTGCAGTAAGTTGAAGTGAAATACATTATATTTGTTTCTTTTTAACTCGTTGCACCGATTTACACGAATTCAAAGAGTTTATCGCTAAAGAACAGATCTATTGATTACAAAAGTATTCATTTTGCATTGAATATTAAAATCTAATCGATATTAATCTCACAAAATAGATAAAACAAAAGATATATTTGCGATCTTCAGTCTATTGACAGTAATAGTTGAAAATGTTGCGAACATGTCAAAAGATAAGACATCATCCACGTGGAAAGTGATTGTTCGATGTATTCATAAATCGGAAGCCTCATACTCACCTTCGAATTCAGAAGAAGGTGATTCTCTATTTTCAGTTGATACCATAAGATTCTTAATTAGATGTTTTAACTTTCTGTCAATACCAAATATAATTTTTATAAGAATTAAATTTATTGAATCTCTTCTTATTGTCAAATTGACGATGTGTATGTGTGAAATATATCATGTACCTACATACAATCATCAGATTTAAATTTTAAGTAATTCTATTGGCACATTTTTTTATATTTATTAGACTTATCATTTATTTTAATATATATGAAAATATAATTATTATTGTAATATTAATCTTCAATAATTTAATCTTTTTATTACAAAGAGTTTATTATGTTTGATTATTTAAATCTGTAGTCCAATTTTTTTACTAAATACAGAGAGTAAAATATATGCGATTTTATCATATTTTATACTTTTTTATTATATTGATTAAGAGGCAATGTATCTTTAAATGTTTATAGTACTAAAGTATGGTAGTTCTATAATTATTTTTAATGTGTTATTTATTAATTACATCACGATCACTTTGCCACATCTATGCAGTCTGAACTATTTTAACAAATATCTTATCTATGAGTCAACAACTTCTTATGACATTTATAATGTGTTATTAAAATGACCTGCGTACTTCTAGTACCTGTTTTTAATAACAGATGAAAGATATGTTAAAAGGTATGACGCATTGAGAAATATATAATAGATGCTTTTAACAACTAGACTAGAAATACAATAATTGTTGATGGTAAAAATTTCGCTGGGAAAATATGTATTTGCGCAAGTGAAAGAATTAACATTGCAACGGTAGCACAACCAGTTGTTTACAATCTTTTTTATCGTTGGTTTAGACCTTTATCAAGGCTATTGCATATATTCTGATAATTGCCTTTCTGATAATTCTCTAATAATAGAAAACATTTCTCAATGTACTCGTACATATTCGTTTAATTTCATGTAAACTTATGCGTTTATTATTTTTTTCTCAATGATGAAAGGAGTTGTCAACAGGCTACTTGCTCGAGTTCTCATTAAAGAGTCTATTCGAGACATTAATTTTGGAGGTCATAAAATTGCGAAATAATTGTGAATTGTAAATTTTGACAATTTCTTTGAATAATTTGCATACACCATGCGATTATTTACTTTACGAGTCGCAAGGTTCGAAACTATTAGTAGTAGTATAGCAAAAACAAATCAAGGATTAAGTTATTTCTGGTTGCCCAGTGTCCAAGCATTACACGTTAACATAGCGACGATTGCGGATTTGAGATGTTGTATTTATATAGAACGCTTTCCAACTTTATGTGTAATTTTTTTTATATTTCCGCGAAATATAAAGCTCTCAGAAAGCAAATTGAAAGAGAAAGAGAGAAAGAGAGAGAGAGAGAGAGAGAGAGAGAGAGAGAGAGAATCTCACAAAATAATATAAAAATGGATTGGTTCTCTGATATTACGTATTTAATATTTTTTATACAATATTAATAAATTACGTTTTACAAAACAATATGTTGCATTTTGTCACAAATGATTTAAGACGATTATTGTTGATATGGAGATAATTTTACTTACTTAAATTTAATGCGAAATAGGAGCAAGCTTCCCTCGATTCTAGAGGGCTATGGGCGTTTTCTGCTTTTAGAGGAAGTTCGGTTTCCTACTTTTGTTTCTATTTCTTTTCCTGCACTGTGGTTTTTTCCGATTTGTTTCTATGGGTGGTGCAATGTACCCTGCAGGCAAGGATGGCAGCAAGGTAACGACTGTAGTAGCGACTCCTGGTGCTGGTCCGGATCGTCCTCAGGAGGTCGCGTACACCGATACTAAGGTCATAGGCAATGGCAGCTTTGGTGTGGTATACCAGGCGAAACTCTGCGATTCGGGAGAGATGGTTGCTATCAAGAAGGTTCTCCAGGATAAACGATTTAAGGTGAGCATTTTTACTTTGTGTCTTGCTGAGATAAGTAACGAAATATAAATAATAAAATAAAAATATATTAAAGAAAAAATAGAGAACATAGTAACACTACTAATAAGTTAATAATTGAAGCAACTTACTGTTACATTATTATTACATTCTTTTCATTGTGTTTTATTTAATTTGATTTAATTACATTCCATTTTTTTTTCATTATTTTTATGATTTTATTCTGTGTTTTATATTATTTTTATTTCACTTTTTATTTTAGTTTATATTTTATTTTCTTGTTTATTTATTTACTGAGCAATGAATATACACTAACGAGTTGTCTCAATAAAACTTTATTTTTTCCAGAACAGGGAATTACAAATTATGCGACGCCTCGAACATTGCAACATTGTGAAACTCAAATATTTCTTTTATTCTAGTGGTGATAAGGTAATTATTTTAACTATAATTTTCTTAAATCTTAAGTGAAGATGAGTTTGCTATCTATTTAAGATTTCAATATTTATATCAAACTGTTATAATTTTTAAAAAATTGCGAACAAAGTAATTAAAAAGTAATAAGACGCGAAGTATGTAACTTCAATCGGTACAGCTCCCATTGATTAGCATACAATTATCAATTTTACTGTATTATCGGGTTGTTACGTAAATGACACGTGACTATAAATAAAACGAAAGATGTTCATTTAATGCATGCCACATTGTTATGTTATTTTATAGAACATCTTAACCGCGACTAATCCGGTTTTTCACGTTGACGTAAGTTGAAGTACACCCAGTAGTAGTTTGTACGAGAATCTTCCTTTTGGCGAGAAAAAATCTCTAGGCGAATTATCGCTTCCACATAGGAACATCTTCACAATTCGTATCATTCCTTCGAAACGTCATTGTTTTAATGTCGATCTGGGTCCGATTAGATTATGCTGCTTCGCTAGTCTTGTTAGTACGTAATGTTTCTGAAGGCGTGTGTGGTAAATGTGAATAACACGAGGGCATCGATGTGTGTGTCCAAGAGAAATAATAAAGATGAAACGTATAACTTAAATGATCCCAAGGGGTATCTCACAATTCGTTCCAATTATTTTATAATTTTAATCACAAATTCTGATGGAACTTTAATTGATATAATTTTATTATAAATTCCAGAGCCCTAATAACATGAAAAGAAGAAAGTTTTCATGAGACTAAATAAATAAAATAATTATATTTTTACATGCATAAGTAACATAATTATATTGTATTAATTTTTAATTCTTGATTTGCAGATTTATTTACAAAAATAAACGTACAATATAGAAAATTAGAAGATCAAAAGAATTAAAAAAGACTAGATGATCAAAAATTATAAAAATAGTTAAAAATTATTAAAATGGTGGGTTGATTAGAGAGAATTTATTATTAAATTATTCCAGTATCACGAATTGCGGGAAACTCTACATTCGAATACGTCGTCAATGTTTGGTTTTGGAGTAGTGTGCCTTTGAGACGACAAATATTTGTAAACAGATCCTCGCTTGTTGAATGAATGTTACACGCAATAAAATTTTCTTATATTTCTTCTTTCTTTTTTTAGAAGGACGAGGTTTATCTTAATCTAGTCCTGGAATACATACCCGAAACTGTGTACAAAGTCGCTCGACATTATAGCAAAAGCAAGCAGACGATACCAATCAGTTTCATCAAGGTAAGTTTTTTTTTATTAGTTTTACAATTTTTAGTTATTATTTCTAAATTCGTAATGAAACATGAAAATTACGTTTGTAAAATACTGTTTCTTCAATTAATTTTTAAAAGATTTCTAGCTACGGTAATTACGGTAGTTCTGATTGTAAAAAGGAAACATTCCTTTAACTCGTGCAATATTTAGTATCTAAGAATTTTTGAGCATGATAAACTATTTATGAATCTGAGGTTTAAATTTACAAGATTTATAGATGTTAAAGATACGTCATTTTAATTTTGTTATTATTCCAATCTCAAATTTGTAATCTATCTCAAAAACTTACAAATACTGTGTGTGTATATACAAACTTTCTCGTAGACACTACCGCGTCTCCTGATACATATTATACTATACTATAATAAAGCATGTGTTTCACATAAATTTAATCAGATATATGCATAGATAATTAGATAATTAATATATTAGTATAGAAAATAATCTTTTCTTTGTTCTTTTTACAGTTATATATGTATCAACTGTTTCGTTCATTGGCGTACATCCATTCCCTGGGTATTTGTCACAGGGATATCAAACCACAAAATTTGCTGCTAGATCCAGATACTGGTGTTTTGAAGCTATGCGATTTTGGTTCTGCTAAACATCTTGTGAAGGGCGAACCAAATGTATCCTATATCTGCAGTCGCTACTATCGCGCACCTGAACTCATTTTTGGTGCTATTGACTACACCACAAAAATTGGTATGCTAAAAATTTCAATAAAAATCTTTGTTTAACATCACATATTTATGTCTGTTTTCAATGTAAATTAATTTTAATTTTGGTTCAACTTACTTTTAATCTTTTTTTAATAAAACAAGAAAAATTCTTAATTAATCTACATTGGGGTGGAAACATAAATTTGAAAGGCATTTATCGTTGACCGCGCTATTTGTTCGTTTTTATCTGGAATTTGAATGTGTTCATAAAAATTGTCTAACCCTGGTAGATCTCTTGACATTAAAAAAAAAATCGTTGAAATTGATAGCATAATAAAAATACATTAATTTATTTTTGTTTCTTTATTATATTTTATTTTGTCATATTTGTATTCGTTTCTCTTAATTAACATTTTTCTCATTTCGTTGATAGATGTTTGGAGTGCAGGTTGTGTGCTAGCAGAACTGCTGCTAGGTCAACCAATATTTCCCGGCGATAGCGGTGTTGATCAACTGGTAGAGATTATCAAAGTCCTCGGTACGCCTACGCGCGATCAGATACGTGAGATGAACCCCAACTACACCGAATTCAAATTTCCACAAATTAAATCACATCCCTGGCAAAAGGTAGAGTTTATTATTTTATAACTTTATACAAATTGTTATTAATATATATTTATACATGTACATTCGCAGCGAAATATTTCATGTATTTCTTCATCATCTGATTGTTTTATTTTATTTACACATGTCTATAACTTTGTGATTCATTATAAGTAATTGAGAAGCCCCTTTTGTTTTAAACCTAATTTTAATAAAACACACAAATAATGTAAAATATTTCTTTATCTTCAAAAGAAAGTATTTTAACTCAGAAATGTAAAAAATATAGATTTTTCAGACAGAATAATAACAAAATAAAAAATATGCTTTTTAGTTAACTTTGAAATTAAAGGAGGAGGTAGAGTCGAATTTGATGTAACATTGCATGAGGTTTTAACATGCATTTTCGTAGGAAGAGATTATTTTTTCGTATTTAAAATACGATCGATGGCAATAACGCCTCGATCGGTTGCCATTCATCAATACATGTCTCATGATTTGCAGTATATGCTTCAACGAATGAGTGAAACATCTATGTGTTCCATGGAGCACCAGAAGATTAGAGTAAGTGATTCGACTTTCAACAAGTGTTGTTCAATATGGCACAAACTTTCTCTATCTTGGCCCGTTGTACTAACATTCAAAATAACACCTAAACTTCCATTTCGATATCCGAACGAGCAGCGTGCAGACTTATTCCCAATCTTATTTAATTCTTATTATTTAGTCTTTATATTATTACTTAAAAGAAAACAAAAATAATGAAAACAGAATACTTTTCAAGATTTCCTTTACAATTAGTTATCTTCTTCATGTAACTCCTCATTGCCTAGTCTCATCTGTTAACGACACTAATAATTTTTTATATTCGACTTCTTACATTTTATATTTGTTATGGCGACTGAAAATAATTCAGAACATCACTTACTCTAATATTCTGGTGGTATTTTAAACTTGCATTTATCAAACTTGAAAGAATGAGTAACATATTGTGGTCTTTCGTGTCTATTGCACAGAGACTTAGTGCTTGAAGTTTGTGTTCATCTTAAATGTACATATTCGCATTTAATTCATTATTGTATTGACATATGTGTGTATATATATACACATACACACAAACATATATATATATACATATATATATATATATACACACACATACAAAAGACAAAATATACAAGGAGTTGCATATGTATAAGCACATGTGTAGATTTCCAGACAGTGTACATTTTTCTCTGTTTTGATTGGAGTCCTCTTATGGGAATATATAATTCTAAATTGTACAAATTACAGATGAGTATAAAATATGTTTAACATTTGGAAAATTTCAAATATAGATCGATAAAAATATTTAGTGATAATATTAATAACAAATATCAATGTTATCTTTATTCATTGCTGATATAAAGCATCATTATCTTTTTTTCAGTTCTCAGTAGGTATCATCCAAGTTTTTTTAACTCTAGGACTACATATGACGTATATTTTTGTATTTGTAGGTTACCGAATTTATCAAATTTGATCTATTACTTTATATATATTTTTACGCAACTATGATACAAATATATTTTTCAATAAATTTATTTACAGTAAAATACCAGATAATATAAAAAATAAGATTATTAAATTAAATTTTAAGTTTGTTAACTGGATTATTAAATGCAAATATTTAAACAAAGAAAAATTTCCAAAAATTTTGAAATTTTCTTCGCCTGATCAAATAAATCCAACTTTAGTGCTAGGGTTGTGAACGCCATAAAATGAAATGTAAGAACTGAAATTTTGTACATATAAAATGACAACTAAAATCATCTCATTATGAATTTTTCAATAACATCATCTTTCATGTCTATCACGCAGAGAGTCGCGCTTAAAATATAATTTCCTTAAATGGGATTTCGTAGATTTTATGATACACAAAATTGACAAAATTTACGATATCTACTGAGATTTAAAACTGAAAATTAAAATTGACAATTTATTTGTCACTAACTTCTTGCTATTAATTATTCATGCAATCTTCAACAATTCTATTCTACAACGATATACATGTTAAACTTTTTGGAAATAAAACTTTTTTAATGAAAATAAAAGATTTGATTCGTATTCTTATTGCTCTTTTTCTCATACAGCTGATCAGTGGTGAAGAAGCAAATAAATTTCATACGTTAGTAATATAACTAAAGTTACTCTTATATATTTACAATATTCTTATCTTAGAATACAAATATATATATATATATAATACAGTATATGTATTATGAAAGAAATATCTAATTTTGTATATCTCTGTCCTTCAACGTTGTCATTAGTTGCATAAGAATGTAGTCTATTTACGTAAGTCTATAGTAATACTGCACATACAATTGGCCACTATTGATAAACTTTCTTATATTACTTATTTATCATTTTACTTAGTAAGACGTGTACTTTTTATACATTATTTTTATATCTTTTGTATTTTAATAGATCGAAGAAATATCAAAAATTATTAATATGTAATGTTTCTATTTTTATCACAGAAATTTGATATTATAGATTTTATTAATTAAAATTAAATTAATTATATAATGCCACTAGAATTAATTAAACTTACAAAATACCTTGCATTTATTAAGCACCATTATTATAAATAAATATGCTACAAATGGAGGTTAGAATTTTCATTCTAAGTAAGTTCTTTAAATGAATAGACTGATAATCTATCTTCAAAAATCCCAACAAATGTGTACAATCAAAATACAGTAATTTATCATTTATATTATCCAAAGAATCGATACATTTAGCAATGAGAGAAAGTTGAGAATATAGCTTTTATTTAATGGGTTTAATGGTGATTGTAGGTGTTCAGGGCGCGCACGCCACCGGAAGCGATGGACCTAGTGGCACGGCTACTGGAATATACACCGTCGTTGCGCATGACACCGTTGCAAGCGTGTGCACATTCATTCTTCAATGAATTACGTGAACAAGGCACGCGGTTGCCAAGTGGCCGTGAATTACCGCCGCTCTTCAACTTCACCGAGCATGAGCTGCGAATCCAGCCGATCCTCAACAGCATGCTGATACCCAAGTATATGCAATCGGCCGCCGCCACCACCGGTACGGAGGGGAATCCCGGCGGGGGCGGCGGAGGTGGAGGTGGCGGCCAGTCGGACGCCACGGGCGCCGCTGCCAGTGCTAGCGGTAATTCTAGTGATAATAGCGCCAACAATCCCAACACCACCACTAACACCACCGCTACCAACACGCAAAACACTGACCCCAGCCAATCGAACATGGCTTGAACCGCTTTATTCTATCTTCTATTTTTCTTTTCCTTTTTAACGTTATTAAAGAATTGGATTATGACGTTGTTACGATGGCATGACGAAGTAACCATCTTCTGACGAGGGTGTCCACGTTGTAAATGCGATATACAGCATTGCGGAGTAAATAGATATAAGATTTTCATCTTCTCTTTAGCGAGAAGTAGTATAGTACAGCGACGCGATTCAGTGGAATTAAGGCTCTTAGTTCAACTCCGTAGGTACATTAGATCAGAGGATCCTGACTTCTTATTTTGACAAAGACGGAATTGATAAATTCATAATTTTTTAGAAGACAGAGCACCGTAAATTATTTCTCACTTATTTTCTCACTACTTACTAACTTTTCCATTTTGCATCTATTCTTTATTTATTTAAGGATAAATAATGTTTTTCGCTATTCTTACGAAACAGGCACATAAATAGACGAATTCCGAAATAGAATTGTCTAGTTTGCGAAATTATAATCACATTTCAGATTCATAAAGACGTTCCTGGAAAATTATAAGCCACTATTAGCAACAAAATAAATAAAAACAAATTTTTCATTTTATAATTGCATGAAATATATAGGAATAGAATTATATATATATATATATATAATGTATAGCTTATTTCATACAAACGTGACAAGTATAAATTGCATATTCTGCTTAAGTACTGTGCACAATTTATAATGAGAAAGGAAGCCTTGCAAAGTATCTTCTTTATCTAAAATAAGAGAAGATATGAATGTCGTAAAATTGTGTCTAAACTGAGATAAAGCCAACAAAAATATGAAAAAAATGTTTGATCTCTTTCTGTAATATGGCTAACTAGAAAATGCACAAATTTTATTTATTATATCCAGTAGATTCCAGTACAACGTCACATCCTGTTTCTCGTTAAATGAATCATTTTGCTGTTTTCGAAGGGTGGAATCAGGTGGCGTTGAAATTCATTTCCTCTTTCCAAAAGAAGTTTGGACCCTCTATATAGGCATATAATATCAAAAGATTTTACACATTAATAGATTATGTTTTTCATATGTTGCAATATATATTTGATAGAGTAGTCGAAACATATCGAAATTTCTCAAGAAATACCTGTGAAACTAGATCTGTCACAAAATTGATTTATAGGACATATATAAATCATTTAATATTAATTTTTATCTACAGAGGAAAAAGTTCGGAACTGTTTGCGAATTTATTCTATCAGTTGCGAATTGTCGCATACGGAAAGCTAATTTAATGTGCATGCGCGAGAAAAGAAATTTATGCTATTCTTTATTTCTGATATAAACGGTAAAATGATTGTTACTAGGAGTCTTAATTACGCTTCGTTGTTTTTGAAGTGAATTTAATGTATATATATACGTGTAAGAACTTGTTTCTTTTTAACTTTAAATACAGCTAAAATGCGTTTACTCTAATTAAAGGTAAACTAAGAAAATGTATAATCTAATGCTAATGTCGTTTGCGTCGCCATTATTTTATATTTTAAGACACTGCGGAATCGAAGCTCGACGAAAATATCGATTTGAAGTGATTGTGAATGCTAGTTGAAGGATGCTATGTTGTCTTTTGTAGACTGACGCAATTTAACAGCGAAATTATACCCTATGTATATATAAAAAACAAAATCCTTTAACACAATGATTGCTATATTTATATATTATATACATCATTTATATACGCATTTATATGTGAATGACACTTTTGTTTCTATTATTTAAATATCATGGCAAATTTTCATAAGAAGCTCCGCTGTGCAATGATATTCTATGACAAGAAAAGTGAAATAACAAAATATGTTTGATTTCCTAAACTTGTTTATGAAATTAAATGTTATTTATATATAAATGACATAGTAGTCAATGTGTTAAGTGGTAACGGTTAAATACGCGATCCTAAATGAGTTAAAATACAGTCGAATGTCTGTGAACTCATCGTTTTTGAATGGTATACAGAATGTCTAATTAATGCGCCATTTTTCACGAGCAAATAGAAGAAATTAAACTGAATGAAAGTCTTACTATTTTGCAAGTAATTTCTCAATAATTAATGAGAAATTAATAAAGATCTACGCGAGTGAGTGTGCATCCGCGCGTGACAAAAGATAGCACAGCGTTATTTATTATTTGCTATTGGTAGATGCGCGCTTCTTCCAATATCTTACATCTGAAATTATCACGTGATACTGTTTTTGGCTGTTTTCTCGCCTAATCGCACACTGATTTGTGAATCTTTAGTAATTAATTTTTAAGTAATTATTGAAAATTTTGGTAAAGGATATTTGTATTCATTGTATAGATAATTTTACCTGTTCATGAAAGATGGCACGGTAATTATCAGACATCCTATATATATATTTAATGAAAATGTATACTCTTTCCTACTTATTTTTTCGTTGTAATATGATTACATTGCAAAATAGTGGGAAAGTTACAAGAAATATGATTACATTGCAAAATAGTGGGAAAGTTACAAGAAATAAAATTATCTTTAAAGAATATATAGTTGGTTCACAGTACCAGAGTTGATTTTACAGATATTCGACTGTAATATTTAATTATGTCTAGGCGTTTCTAGAAGAAGCCCGATATCTACAACATTAACTTGAAAAAATACAGATATTTGTTGAAAGAAGACCATCATACTGTTAAAATAATTCGGCAAAACAAATTACTTTATTGCTGAATTAACTTAAATGTACATACTAAATGTACATATATACTGGTTTTTCTTCAATCAATGATTGCTAAGCACAATTCGAGTTGAAAACAAACTAAAACAATGTGTAATCAAATGTCTAGTAATTTATTAATACATTGCAAAATCGGTTGAGAGAAACATCGATGATGATTGTAAAAAGATCATCGTGCTATCGACATAATTTAGCATATGCATATATATATATCGTTCCTTCTCTAACAACTGATGATTGTTAAACGTGACACTAGTTGAAGGAAAATTCAAACTAATTGCGTAATTTAGCATCTAATATCATTTTAACGACAAATGAGAAGGAAGAACAGAAATCGATATAATTAAATATTTAAACTTACAATTAAATGATTTGTGAATACATGAAATAATAATTTTCTTAAAATTTCTAATGGAAAATTGTACTCATCGAAATTATATCGGTTTCAAATTATATGTGACGTTATTGCAAAGTTTGGGAGAAGGAAAGTAAAAATTGAAAATGGACATTTAATAATATTCTCGATTCATAATGTGAGTTTCATTAAGCCGGACTGTATTTCTTCAAGATTTCAGTGAAATCGTAGACATCGCATAGTACAGAATAACATAACAATGGATATGATTATCGAGCGATAGTATCAATAATAATCAATAATTAATGTTCGCATTTCATCTCGACCGATATTATCTTGTAGGCAAATGATCATGAAACGGATACTCTATATTTTGTGTTCATTTCTAACGGAATTCTTCCGTTAATAACTACTATTGATAAAAAGAGATACTTGAAATATGTTTCAATATATGTACAAAAATGTCTCAGATATAAAAACTGATCGACTTGCCGCAAATTAAACGCGCTGTCGTAGTTGACGAGAATGTTAATTAACAAATTCATATTTCTTGCCGAAGCATTTAGTGAAAAGAAGACATATTAATTAATGCCTATATTGATCATGCCTCGGCTCTTAAAATTGTTAATTCTCTAAATGCTGTCGCTACATTATGATTTTTCTCAGTTTCTCGGCTTTTCAAATTCTTTTTTCTTTTTTTTTAATCTAGATGACGAACTTCTGATCGACTCAATGGAGCGATTTGTAATACTTTTAAGCCGATGACACATCATACATGGTGAATGGACTTTTTGACATGTTAATAAAAATCCTTCGATAATAAAAAAAAGGTTTTTGTGCGTTATACATGACCCAGGAATCAGTTACATGGAAAACAGAAAATTCAAGGTTTTCTTGCAAAGGGACGGGATAAGTACGAACACTTTCTTAGATTAAGAAGATACGCGCTTCTCAAATTGCAAGAATTGTGGAAAGGTTTGTAGCACGTATTACACACACACACACACACACACACACACACACACACACACACACACACACACAATTGTTGAGTTACTATTGCCGACAATTTTTCAATATATTAATTGTTACAAGATTTAAAAATCAAATTATTTATTAACGGTTTTTAACAAAATGTATAATTTCTGCAAACTGCAGAAAAATAATATATATAATAAATAACATAATATTTTCTAAATCTAAAAATTTAAAAATAAATTGATACTCGTCGCGGCTACGTTTCGGGACAATTCAATTATTTTAGTTTAACACGCACGGCATATCATTGTGTTACAAAAGATAATATTCGAGTTTGGTTCTTCTGTCAGGAGAAGAAACCAAAGGTAAAACGAAATTAGGTAAAAAAGATATGAAGGAAGGTTAAATAATATATAAAGAATTAAATGTTAATGTTCAAAAATTAAAGTTTTATCAATGTTATATATATTACAATTAATTTTTTTAGTCATTAATACTTTCTTTTTGATTAGTGCTGCATCCTTTGATTTTAAATGACATCAACTTTTTTTTTAATTTTACGAAAAGAATTTGGTCTTTAGAATATTTTCCTGTTTAAAAAAAAAGAAAATACGTTTTTTGTATAAAAAATTACAAAAATGAGCTGAAATTCACATTTTTTTGCCGTGTACAAATTTGAATTATACTGTTCTGCACAATTAGAAACAAATATTATAAAAGTTATGAGATTATGAAAATTAAAATATTGCGCAAAATATATAAATACATTCTGAAAACAAATTAAAGATATTAATTTAGATATCAGAAAATTTCAATATTTTTTTAATTATAGGTGTATATTTTGTAATAATTATGTTCTATTTGTATTGAATATGTGCATTTATACATATATCCTCATTTAAAGAGATGGCTGACTCGATGTAAAAGCTCGAATTCTTCGTATTATCATATTAATATA